AAAAACAGTGCTGTTATACAAAGGCTGCCGAGAAGGCGCAACCACCAAGCACCGAGTCTCCTCCTCGATGAATGTCGTGGCCAAAAAATGCTGAAAACAGTCCACATCAGGTCCACACGACGTAACAACAAACACAAAGTTACAAAACAAACACAAAAACAATAAAAAAAGCAAGGCTCATGAGAGCACTTGCCGATGGCTGCCTACTCGGGCGCCATCTTGGACTTCCTATATATATATACACACACACACACACACACACACACACACACACACACACACACACACACACACACACTCTCTCTCTCTCTCTCTCTCTCTCTCTCTCTCTTTCTCTCTCTCTCAATACAGTCATATTCAATTTATACAATTGATTAGAACACTCTGGATCCAGGGGTATACTGATGTTTGATGTGACGCAACAATTAAATACAAGTTTATCCATCCATTTTCCGATCCGCTTATTCTCACAAGGGTCGCGGGGGGTGCTGGAGCCAATCCCAGCTGACTTCGAGCAGTCGGCGGGGTACATCCTGAACCGGTTGCCAGCCAATCGCAGGGCACACAGAAACGAACAACCAGTCGTGCTCACACTCACGCCTATGGACAATTTAGAGTGGTCAATCAGCCTGCCATGCATGTTTTTGGCATGTGGGAGGAAACCAGAGTACCCGGAGAAAAACCACGCAGGCCCGGGGAGAACATGCAAACTCCACACAGGGAGGCCGCAGCTGGAATTGAACCCGGTACCTCTGCACTGTGAGGTCGACGTGCAAACCACTGGACCACTGGGCCGCAGTGCAAGTGTATGATTATGTATAATCAACCCGGTTCAAACGCTGAGAGGCATATATGGTCTGGGGTTGCCCATCCTATTCAAGTGTTTGTTGTCCCCTTAAGTGTCATGGGTGAGCTGGAGGCTATCCCAATTGACATCCTCGACTTGTCGCAGTCCGTCGCATTAAACCAAATATGCATCTTTTGGAATGTCGGAGGTACTCTTGAAAACCCACTCAAGCACAGGGAGAACATACTGTATGCAAACTCCACATAGGGAGCCCAGAATCAAACATAATAACCAGAAGTCATCTTGCCCACAGTTTATACCCAAGAAAAAATAGCTGTACGTTACAATACTCGATATTGAATTAGCCTTCAGTAATCGTGTGCTTTCTCAAAGATGCTTTTCAAAATGATGCCATTTTCTATATGTTATCAATATCGTCTTGTGTAACACGATGTACATAATACGACTGGACTACTTCCCCTGTGTTATTTCAAATCAAGGTAGCCTCACTGGAACGTTTCAGACGAATGTTAAGAGTATCAAATGTGTTCATGGCTTAGCATAGCCGTCAAGTGATATTAGAATAGCAAAGGAGACCCATCCAGCATTGGCTATAGTGCCCTTACACCTTCCTCCCCCATCTACCTGTTTCTCCCCAGTGCTTCCTTATCACCTCTTGCCTCAAAGTGACTGGAAGAGAGAACATTAAGGTGTTACTCATTGGTGGTGCCCGCCCCCCATCTATCTGTGGCCCTCACAGTCTGGAGCTGCCTAACCCAACATTAACTTTGTTTGAGTTTTCTCTCATTGTGGACAAAAGTCTTTTTTAAAATCTCACCGTTTTTTTGAGCCGTTTTGGAAGAGTGTCGCATCATGAAGATGAAAAAGAAAGCCAGTGACACATCAGGAGTCACGCTCAATCGTTTTGCTCAAGGTAAGACTAAAACTATTGTATTAATTTCAGTTGTGTGTGGAACCAAGAAAAAGCCCATCCAAATTTTGAATGCATCAATTGCTGCAAGCATACATCATACTAACCTTTTGTGCTCAAAAGAAACACCATCATCCTGGAAAGTTTGCTCTTCATTTCGACCATTATTGAACTTCTTTAATTTTGCAAAAAGCTACTGGAGTTATGCAACAAAGTAAAACGACATCGTTCTTTATTACTGGTCATGAATTTGGACAATAATGGATCATGGGTGAAAGCAAAACGGAAATCACAATATCAACTATGGGAAGTTGAGGTCCAACAACACGGACCTCCTCGAAGCCATAACGACACTCAGTCAACTCAGCAGGGCTTCAGAAGCTTCAGAGAAAAATATGTGAGATATTCGAGAGGGATTACTTGGTTTACGATGTCGCTTTGTCATATAGCAGGGACGTAAGCCAAATTTGTACGCAAACCAGAATGTACCGTTGTCTATCAGTCACTAACCCAACAGAGTCATAATTCAAGTAAATATTTGTACACAAACATTTCCAAACCATTACATTAAAGAACAATCAAATGAAAGACAATAAGATAAGCATGGTGGTAACCGAGCGTGCCTGCTTGTGCTGCATTTTGACAAACTCTTACTATGCCACTGTCAAAACTTTGTTCATTTTGTGCCAGACGCAACCTCGAAGCATCACGGACTAGGTTGAGGAGCCGGAACTCCTACATTTGAAAAAAGAGGAGTTAATCAAGTTGATTGATTATGAACTAAACAATATAATTTGAACTGGTAGAACACAGTACAGCTTATGATGTCTCTCCAGCACAGTGTAAAATCATAACACAAATCACTATCATTCTCAAGAAGCATTCCTTTAATATGACAAATTGTTCAATATATGTAGTGAAGAAGGATATTCAGAAAACACTTTACAAAAACACGGGAAAGGACAAGGAGTTAGTGTGCCTATGTAATACGTGAAGTGTCTCTTCACAAAATGTAATCGCCAACTACAGGCCCAGGATGCATATTGCAGCTGTTTTCTTTGTCACAAAAATTGATTTGTCACATAATTATTTGTCTTAGCCAACACTGTCGAAAGCGGGTTATGTATGTACCAACTATCGAGCTTAATTAAAAAAAAAAAAAATTCCATTCCACCGATGAATTTCATCACAGCCCGATTCTTTGATGTGATCGATTATCCTGTGGTGTGGGGTGTATTAAGGTTGGTTTTTCCCCATCGGATCTGTTGGAAAACAGTCCCTGCGGATAATCATCCATCCATCCATTATCTGAATCTTAATCCCACAAGGGCCGCGGGCGTGTTGGAGCCTATCCCAGATGTGTTTGGGCAGTACGCGGGGTACACCCTGAACTGGTTGCCAGCCAATCGCAGGGCCCACATCGACAAACAACCAGTCACGTTCACAATGACACCAAGGGACAATTTGAACTGGCCAATCAGCCTGCCATGCACGTTTTTTTGGAATGTGGGAGGAAACCGGAGTACCCGGAGAAACCCACACAGGGACGGGGAGAATATGCAAACTCCACACAAAGAAGGCCGGAGCCAGAATCGAGCCTTGCACCTCTGCACTGTGAGGCCGATGTGCTCACCAGTCGACCACCATGCTGCCCCGGATGCAGATGCCGCTGCTGATATTCCCGAATATTTAAATATTACAATTGCAAATCTTTATGTGTGTGGTCAACACAACATTCGGCGGAGCCATAGTAACCGTGACTGTATCATGGAATGAAACCATAGCCAATTAGCCAGTGACGTGAAGCTCCTGCTGTTGCCCGGCCTTGCTTCTAAAATTGCTTCTTCGACTAATATTTTCCAACAGTCTGAATGCCCTGTAGCACCATGTTGCTTCTCACGGGTCACTCTAAGCATACTGACAGCCATCTGGTCAGAAGGCGGAGTCTCAACCATTGTCAGTTGAGGTATCGCTGTGTGTCTGGTGTTGGGTTTTGATCATCTCATGTACATCACATACTGTCAATAACGCTTTCCTCTCAAATTTGAAAATAACTCCCAATGTTAAAAATAGTTTGTGCTCGATGGCACAATGGGTTTGCTTCACATTGTCACCCCACAGTAAGAAGGTGTGCGCTCATTCTAAATGGGTTTGCAACTATATGTACTTTCTATGTGCCTTTAACTAAACCAAAAGGTCCCTGGTTGGACAAGTGTAGACTGTTGTGACCGGATGCATCCTGTGACTCTTACAAAAGAAGCAGTCTCGCAAAGGGATGTAGGATAAACAATCGAATGGCTGAAGAGGACAATGTGTAGTGTTTTATTTCCTAAATAACCCTTCAATTCTGGTTGCCATCAAAAGTTTCAGCCAGCGGTTAGTTCTTCCTATGTGTAATACTGCATCATGTGTCTGCACATATTTTAATGTTTGACAGGCAAAAAGATAAATTGACACACACCGTGTTGTACATTTATCGGTCTCGGGGGTTAAAATATTATCTACAGACTCATTCAGTAGCACTTATAAGTGATCTAGTGCCTATTTAAAAAAACGAGTGTGCCTGCTGGTTCTCTGCTGCCAACGTTACCTCTTGTGCTCCCACATTTACTTGCCATGGCTGAATTTGTGAGAATGTTGTTTCGCTTAATAATTGTGCCATTGTGAGCTACCTTATGGTTCTATTTGAATCCCATTCAAAATAAAATGCGTGAGTTTTACTGTTTACAGATTTTTTTTCTTTTAAGAATGGTATGGTACTCATCTCACATATTCGCCCATGGTATGTACCAGTACATTTATAACTGTCATAGATTATGGAAAAACAAAGTTTCAGGGAAAACATCCTTTCTGCATGCGTTGTTTTTCTCTGCCTAGTTGCGCCCCTCCCACTGTTCTTTGGAGTTAGATTAATGTGTTACTGTACCATAAGCTCGACAAAGGTTGCCCTTGCACAGAAGATTAGTTTATTAATGCAGCGTTTCATTGCTCATTGTTTAGTGGTCACTGTTTGACCAGCACGGGTGATGGTGAAAGTCCGAACAAGCATGCAGACAACTGAGGGGAAAAGGCGTCTGAATCACCCCAGGGAGAAAGGGGTCATTATTCAGCGAGGGGGCTTTTGTGGGTGAAGCTGCGGGGATTACAATTTGCGGCAGACACCTGAAAACTCAAACACTGGAAAACAGGTTTTCTAAATGCAGACAACGGTCACCTGCAGTCTTTCTCCCACAGAGATCCTGCAAATATGCAGCACGAGACTCGACTCGCATCTACTGCTTTTTACAGAATCATTCATTGAAGCAGGATATTGTCACAACTGTGGATATCCCACAATCAAATGTTTGAATAACATCAGTTTCAGCATCTGGCGTGACGTATGAAATACTTGTTGGACAGCAACACAACATGTTTAGCGAAATGAGCGTGACTGTGAAACCACTGCCTTTTGCACACGTTGTCCGGGCTTTTTTTTACAGCCCTATTACTCCCTCAGAAGGTGGAAAACTTCCAAGACCCATCAATGTAGAGTGATCAAAAGATAGTTTTATAATAAACCCGGAGGACATACTGTACGTGTTCTAACCAATGACAGGCCTTGCATTCATATTGCAGTGAACCCCTGTTCATTGTGGGGGATATTTTCCAGACCAGCCCACAAAAGGTGAAAATCTGCTTTACAGAGGCTCCATCTAGAAAAGCAGCCCCTGTGTGAATGTGCTCATTGGGCCTCATGAAGAGTTCCAATGCAAAAAGAAGTAATCTGCATTTGTTTAAAATTAGGAAAATTAGTCATTTTTATTTTATTTTTTTTTATTTATTATTATTTTTTTTTATTTAGGTTGTTCAAAGTTAATATCAATTAAGAAATAAAGAGGCCTATTAAAAAAAAAAACGTTTTCTCAAAGAGGTACTGTATTTTCGCGACCAATATAGCGTACTGTATTAAAAGGCGCAGTCTGTTACGGGTTTTATTTCTGTATTTAACGCATACGCATTTACACCATACGGTACGGCTCCACATGACAGACTTGTAGAAAGCTAACAAATGTACAGTATATATCTGGGACAGAAAAAAATACACATATTTTATTGAGCTAGTGAAAAAGGCAGTGTTAGTTATTCCAGTTTTAGTCCTGATGCTTCTAGATATTATAAGAATTTGGTGGCAATGGGCTTTGTTTTTAACCTACAACTGCAAGAAGTGATTCCGCTTCAAACTTGGTCCCAGCGGCAAGCTTTAAAAGACAGGTTACAGTAACACTTCAGTCATTGCTCCAGTCAGGCACGGATTTCTGCTTTTTGCGCATTGTCTTCTCTTGCAGAGGGAATGGTGCCAGGTCCCTGTCGAGACTATGAGTTGTGCCACATTTCGAGGAATGAGAGGAAACTCGTTTCTGTATAATCATTAGGTCAATACCTAAACGGAATTATGACTTTACTGTCCAAAATTATTTTTACTCTTGGAAACATACTTCTCTCCTCCCCTAACAGGCAACTTTACATCTCCAACTCTCTGATTTTAATCCCATAATGCATGAGTCGGATGAGTGGCAACGGCTTTTAAAGAGATTAAATTCAACCCCTATAAGGAATGATTTTAGTTTCTCCCCACGACTGTGATGTCAACATCAGATGAGTTGTGAAGTGAATTACTAGGGCAGCAGTAGGACCAAAGAGTTCAAAATTGGACACGCCCACTTCTCGAATATGAGCATGAGAAGAACCTAAGCAGTGAAAAGGATTTAATCTCACACTTGTAAAAAGTTCACGTTGGACTCTGTCCCCAATTAGGTTCATCTGCTGCCAATCTGTGTCCATGAGTTAGTGATTTAAGGCTGGTGTGTGTGTGTGTGTGTGTGTGTGTGTGTGTGTGTGTGTGTGTGTGTGTGTGTGTGTGTGTGTGTTTAAATGATGAATAAGCAGGCAGAATTAAATAAAACAAAGGAAAATGCTGCACCACTGTTTAGTACAAGATCATGAATAGAAATAAATTCAAGACT